TTCGGGCGCCCAAAATATTATTCCAGATAAAATGGGTCGTCTTCGAGAGTTTGCCATAGCCTGCTCCTCTGTTTAATATATACACTTTGAAAATGCAACAAATAGATATTCTATTAAGCTTGGACGTTGATAGGAGTGCAGATTGTTCAAATTTTATGAATTAGCAATTATAAATAATGTTAGTTGAAGGTAAAATAGGTACTATTATGAACGAATAGGAATTGGAAAATAAAAACTTTTTAATCCTCATATGCAAAAGACTTAAATTGTATATGTTACAGTTAAAAGCAGTTTCTTAGTTATATTGCATTTTATCTAAATGAAACCACTCTACCTATGCTATAAGTAAAATTCCCTAGTTACAACTAGAATGTACTGCTTACATTATATTTAAGGTTCTCATGACACTAGTATTATAGAAATATGTTGGAAGATTGTTTATCAAAACATACACCGAAGCAACATTAAGGAATATCAAAATATCACAGTAATGCCACAGCGACAGTATTAATTTTAATTAGTTAAAGGAACACAAAAAGGAACTTAATCTGGGCTGAAACAGTTTTAACTGAATCACCATGGCAAAACACGTCTTCTTAATTAAAACTAGTTTTCGCTGGCAGCCATTTTTAAGCAGCATTTGATCCTGGTTGCAAAGTTCAGTGAAACTAGGATAAACACTTTTTTACTAAAAACGGGCTTTAACTGTTACATATATAATTTTCCCCAAGCTCCAACTATACAAGAGAGGCTACCGACTGTCTAAGTCTCATTCTGCCTACTGTTATTGTATGATCAACAATACAATTCATAATAATTATTTCACTTAGGAGTTCATTTGTTGTCAACAATAAGGTTGGAAAGACCAGATATCCATTCAAAGCGGTCATTATTCCTTTTAGAAATACACTCACACAGTACAACACCTACCTATATGACCATCCAAAATACACAAGGACCAGCCTCAATTAGTGCAGAGCTATTTTAAGAACCAACAATGACAAAATAGAATTTGTTTAACAAAGACATTTTTTCTTGCTCAATGTAGTCGTCTCGCATTAACAATGGGAAGATTCCTAGAAGACGCAGGTTATAAATGGCATACTTTCAAGATGTATATTGTATATCCTGTTGCAATGTAAATTATGTAGTGATGGGAACTTTTTTTATTAATAGATGTTCATTTCATATAACCACCTAGTACCAGATGTTATAAGGTTGACTTTTAAAATTCATTTGCCTATAGGTTCCTTTTACAGTAACGTATATACAAAACCAGCTATCCCAATGTTAAACACCTAGATCCTAAAAAAGATTCATGTTACTTAAAAAACAAATTAAGCAATCCTATCCTATAAAAATAGCCCTATGCGCGAAGCATCCCTTGAAAGGACCTATCCGAATAACTAATAAGATATTCTGTTCAAAAAATGATATGAAAATCTGTATTTTTTTTAAAACGAAACGTTCCATATGTTGATGCACATTCAAATAGACCTTTTCAAAAAAATAATATTGATCTCTACTACTATGATTAGTTGTTGAGTTACTCGTGTAAGGGATCCAATGTACAAGCATTTGAAAGCCACCATCTTGAAGGTTCCTAGTATCACTTTTACGTCAAAATGCAAATGAATATTCATGCATCAATTCAATTGCATATTAACACGTTTACTAAAATAAGTGGCGAGGGAGGAGGGCGACGATTTTGAAAAGCATTGTACAATATTTTGTACAAAGACTATCCGAATGGTGCGGACCGCCTGTAAATAATACTGTATTTTGTATAAGGACTAAGCCGTTTATTAAGATTCAGGTCACAAGCTTAATCAAGCACTGCGTCTTGAATATTGTTTACTGCTTTACCATACTATACCATAATTAATAAAGTAAATAGGCGCCTCTGAGTAGTGAGAGGTGATGGAATCCTTGTTATAAGCAGGGAGATATCGCCAATTATTTGTTTTTTGTTGTAAGCAGCGTTAAATAATATAAAGGTTCAGTGACTGAACTACCTCCTAAATGAAGCTTTTAACGTTGTGTCGTCTGTCTCATATCTATAGTCATTTGATAAAAGTAATTCCGTCGATTTGCATTTTTCAAAGTTATTTAGTATCCTCACAAAATAAGCCAGAAACGTATTCAAACCATTTTCAATCAAAGTAATCATGTTTTTAGATTTTGTTATAAATATAGCAGAAAATTGAGCTCAGAATGGTTCCTAAGAGACGAAAGGCTGTCCAGAAGATTTATGAACGCCAACCTATTACCCGTAAAAGTAATAATAGAGAAGCTGTTTGATATCTAATGATACTAATAGGTATTTGTGTATAGATTTTTTTTTTTTTTTTTTTTTTTTTTTTGGCTTTAGGACTAAGCCATGCAGCCAGAAACTAGGTTGTATATAGAATATATCTAATTATGTACAAACACACGACGTCACAACATCCATGGCGAAGGCGAGATTCGAACTCGCGACCCGGCCGGCCGGCTGATCAGTAGCACGACACTCTGACCCACGCGGCCAACCGCGGTCCCAGTTGTGTATAGATAAAAATAAAAAAATATATTTGTTCCAGATTACTGGAAATCCGTTTAAAATAACGGAATTATACAGACCTTTTTCCAACGGTTCTGCTCCCCTACTTATTCTTTGATTCGGTTAAGTTAGCAGTCTGAATTTCTGGATGATGAAATTTCTGGATTGAAATGAAATGAAATTGAATTGAACAGCTGTCATTTTGAAATTTGAAACGACACGTTTACGTTAAGATAGTACCAATTTGATTACACCAGAATTTAGATTGGTAATTTTATCTATATATATATATATATATATATATAGGTGAAAAATTAAAGCTTCCGCCTTTTGTTGGGTACTTCGACAAAATTTAAGCAAAGAGGACTCTTTATACTTTTTTTAATTCTCTCTAGCTTTCAATGGACTTTGCCATCATCATCAGGAGCTGCAATTACAATGATAACAGTAGCAACAAAAGTGTAACATGAATTTAAATTGAATCAACTTACAGTAGTATGTGAGGATGTTGCTAATTGTTGTTTTCGTATAGGATGAGGGAAACGTCCAGTAACATGGTGAGAGCTGGATACATGGTACAATGGTTAAAATTATATAAAATATGACAAGACAAGTTAAAGACAGATTAAAAATTATTTAGAAAACATTAGAGCATTACGTCGTGAAGCCACTTGATGATTGCACAAAATGGTGGTCATGGAATAATGAGTGAGATGAACCTTTGACAGAAGGCCGAAGGTTGTCAATGTCTGTGTTGAAGATGGAACGAATTGTGGGCGTGTGCCAAAACGTTGCCAAATCACTTCAGATAATGTGATTTTCAGAATGTTATGTAAGAAATTGTTAAACCGACCAGAGGCAGTTGAATAAACTATATTTTAATTAATGGGAATTTTAAATTAACAATTATTAATAAATCGTGAGAAGAGAATTATTAGATTTTGAGTGGAATGAAATTTGTTGGTGGAGTCGGCCAAAACACAGATTATATTTATGGTTGTGAAAAGAGAACTTACATATCTCCCCAAATTTCGACGTTTCACAACCATAAATATAATCTGTGTTTTGGCCGATTCCACCAACAAATTTCATTCCACTCAAAATCTAATAATTCTCTTCTCACGATTTATTAATAATTGTTAATTTGAAATTCCCATTAATTAAAATATAGTTTATTCAACTGCCTCTGGTCGGTTTAACAATTTCTTACATAACATTCTGAAAATCACATTATCTGAAGTGATTTGGCAACGTTTTGGCACACGCCCACAATTCGTTCCATCTTTCAATACAGACATTGACAACCTTCGGCCTTCTGTCAAAGGTTCATCTCACTCATTATTCGATGACCACCATTTTGTGCAATCATCAAGTGGCTTCACGACGTAATGCTCTAATGTTTTTTAAATAATTTTTAATCTGTCTTTAACTTGTCTTGTCATATTTTATATAATTTTAACCATTGTACCATGAATCCAGCTCTCACCATGTTACTGGACGTTTCCCTCATCCTATACGAAAACAACAATTAGCAACATCCTCACATACTACTGTAAGTTGATTCAATTTAAATTCATTTTACACTTTTGTTGCTACTGTTATCATTGTATTTGCAGTCCATTGAAAGCTAGAGAGAATTAAAAAAAGTATAAAGAGTCCTCTTTGCTTAAATTTTGTCGAAGTACCCAACAAAAGGCGGAAGCTTTAATTTTTCACCTAACTGGTCTAGACGACAATGACCACGTCTCAAGTTATATATACGTTATATATATATATATATATATATCTAATGATAATTCAGGTTGGATTATATTTTTTCTCATTCAATCAACATAGCAGGCATAACCGTACCTAAATCCAAGTCCTGTTTCATCGTCTCATCTTTACATTGACCACATTTTACCAGGTACGTTTTCAAGGTAATACAGAATGTTGTAAAAGTGGCCTACACGTTTAGACGTATAAAGAAATGACACATCATTTATACTGTTTTATTTTGATAATCGAATGTCAGATATAACACATACAAAGTTGTCTTTTAAAGCACTTAAACCTTACATGACCGATGCCAACAAGACGTTATATTTAACCAAGAAATTGCACGTTTCTGTTCTTGCAAAAGTTGGTCACTCACAAAAGGCCAAATAAATTCTATTCGTGATTCAGGTTAATTTATGGTATTACTGTCAAGCTTTTCTGCCAGTATACGTTTTCAATATAAATGTAAAATAAACTATTATGGCGAATATAAATATATCTGTATGCATTTTATTTCCTATTTTAGAGAGTTGCACCTGAGTTCTTATACTTATCGGACAGCATTCTGTAACACCTGATATGATTAGTTTAAATGAAAGAAGAAAGCCGGTGTTGTAATGACCCCTCTAGAAATGCATAATAATGATTCCAGGCGTTTCAGTAAAAGGTATGATACTACAGATAACTATCCACATCAACTTACGTCAACTCTGTTTCCAACTGAAAATTCAATATCCAACTGTACAGTCTCGCTATCAGGAGATGCGAAGGCTATCTCTCCATACAAGCCTACATGGTCGTCGCATTGATATCGGAACACGCTGGAGCATGGACTGTCTGGTAGCTGGTTCTGGCAACTTAAAGATTGTGATGGAAGCACACCTAGCAAAAGTAAGCACAGCCAGTAGTTGAAAATCGCTGCTAACATCTTCCGGAATGCTTGTAGTACGATGGCGGTGAGCAGGGTGATTTAATTTTAGTCGTTAGCCTAATTGTAGTATCACAGTCTTCTTTTCTCATATTGCTCTGCAGATGAAGCCCTGGAATAAAGTGGGAATGAAAAGTATGCTACCTGTCGCAAACGAATGCAACCGCGTACTCGATAACGTTATGTCATTGATTAACTTATTCCAACCATATCAGCTTTCAAGACAGCAATCATCATACCTATCTATAAATCTAATGATAATACGGACGTCACTAACTATCGACCTATTTCACTTATATCAAGTTTAGCTAAAGTTTTTGAGAAATTACTCCTTAATAAAATGATTAAATTTTCTTAATAAATTCAAAATTCTAAATTCAAATCAATATGGTTTTATAGCGGGCAAATCTACAACAGATGGGGTATTAAGTATAGTAGATGAAATAACCCAAAATATAGATGGAAAAGTACCATCGATATGCGTATTTGTGGACTTACAAAAAGCGTTTGACACAGTTAACCACAATATACTTTTGGAAATCTTAGAAAGAATAGGTTTTCGTGGAAAGATGTATACTTTAATGGAAAATTATTTATCAAATAGACCGCAATCAGTAAAATTATTAAGCTCGTATAGTAAAGAAATGTTTGTTAAATGTGGTGTTCCACAAGGTACAATTTTGGGTCCTCTGTTATTCAATATTTATTTAAACGATATATTCAAAATTAACAGTACTGGTAAAATAGTCAGTTTTGCAGACGATACTGCTATACTCTATAAAGGTAAGGATTGGAACGACTTAAAAGATATTATCCAAAATGACTTTTGCAAAATTATTCAGTGGTTTAATAACCGAAAATTAACAATTAACTTTACTAAAACTCATTTTTTACCATTTTCATCACTATCTAATCATCTACCAAAATATAACCACCTTCGGTTTAAGGTAAATGATAAAAATATAAAAATCAATAGAGTTAATGATACAAAATATTTAGGAATTTATCTAGATCCCCACTTGAGATGGGATGTACATATTTCTCACATACTAAAGAAAATTAGATTCATAGCATATAAAATAAAATTTCTAACCGGTATATTAACTGAATATTATCTACGAATAATATATCAAGCTTTAGTCGAGCCACACATAACATATGGTATAGTAGTGTGGGGTGATGCATGCACGACATACTTTAACGATTTAGATGTACTTCAAAGAAGAATTTTAAAATCAATGTTAGGCAAATCAAAATTATACCCAACTAATGACTTATATAATGATGCACAAGTATATGATACTAAACAACTTTACTTCTTACATACCATCACTCATTATCACAAAACTATTAGTGAACACGACATAATTAAGCATAATCATAAAATCAGATATAAATTACGCGCAAAAAATGTTCCTAAACCAAACAAATCCCTAATGAAACGTTGTCACCTGTATATAGCTCCAAAATTGTTCGAACATTTACCAAATAATTTAAAACAATTACGCAATACATTAGGCTTCAAAAAAAATTAAAAAAATTTATTAACACGATTGGGAGAAATCAAATTAATAAAATAATCTCAAATATTACACAATAAATGCTCTACCATTCTTACCAATAATTTCTTTTTTCTCTCTATTTTATTATATTTTGCAATTCAACATACATATGATCCATGCACAGGCGTTGTCCTCCTATGGATATATTATATTTATTTACTCGTTTCATGTTCCCTGTATTTTAGAGTAAATAAATATTATTATTATTATTATATACTAACGTATATCCTAAGAGTTCTGGCACAAAATTCATTGGCTTTAATTTTAACAAACGCAAAATAGGACGAGTGCGATCAAGGAATACCATGTCTGAATCGCCCAAGAGATGGAAGACCACGTGCATTTACTACACAGAGGTCAGAGAGATTGGTGAGAAGAGCAAAATTCAGGTTGGAATGTCAACAAGGAGACTGGATCGTCAATACAGGTCTTCCAGGGGTACGATATCGTTGGAATTTAGGAGGAATGGTGTTAAATATCGAAAGAGACTTAAGTGCCACACATACTCTCAAGCGCAACTTCCTGGCTTTGTTAGATAAAAACATAAAGCGAAATTTGCAGATAGATTCCTTGTCTGGTGCGGGGTGTATCCCAACCTTTTGTGTGAAGAGTGAGGGGTGAAGCTTTGAATAATCAGAGCTATATTGATAACTGCCTTTCCAAATTTCTTCAGTTTGCTCAAGAATATCATGCTAATGACCATATCATGTTTTGGCCAGAACTAGCATCATGAGATACCCAAAACTGGCTTCCCAAAAACGATAATCTTCCAAACTTGCCGCAAGCTCGCCTACTAGAGGGTTTTTGGGCATTACTGTTTAGGAAGATTTATCATGGAGGCTGGGAAGCTCAAGTTGAAGAACAATTAAGACGGCGAATTTACGGAAAGCTAAGAGAAATTAATCTGAATCCAGGCCAGCGCCTCATGAGAGAAGAAAGTTGCACCTGGTAGAGCAGAATGGGCCACTCCACATAATTCGATAGTACTTTAGTTAAGTATTGAGTTATAATTTATGATTGCTAGTTAGTGTTTGAATAAATTTCTTCATTAAAAAAAATCCGATAAATATTTTGTGGCAAAACTTTTAAGACATACGATCTTCTATTCGGTCAATAAATATCTCAGTGATTTCAATATTTGCCAGAGCTAAGATTGTTTTTAGATATCCATGTACGTATGTATTCAAATGTTTGTTGCTGTGATGTGATATATACTCAATTGTCACGTAATTATAACGTATGCAATGTCGTGATACGATAATCAACTAAATAAATATATATCTATCTATTTCAGCGCCTAAACAGGGATCTTTGAAAAATAGCAGCACAATCTATCAGTCAATGATAAAACGCCAGAGTACACTTTTAAAAGAGTTCAAGCGTTTGGTTCTGCTACACCGCGGCATGTGCGAAGTTTATGCCTTGCTTACAAAAGCCGTAGTTGTAACTAGTTTTGCTAATGTTGCCTTTAATCATAGCTACATTTTCTATTCACATTATGTGAACGATCCTAGCTTTTATCAAAATATGGGAATATATACGTTGGACAAGTATGTTCTAATTTATGTTTTTCTTCGTGTACTATATAGTTCCTGAGATTAAAAATTCAGAGGGATACAGGTTATGCTTTTAGGTCCAGTCTACCGATTTGAAGCAGGTGTGGTAGCTGTTTATAGCGAAAGAAGAAAAAATGATTTCCACGTAGGGCTGTTTTGAGGAGTAAAGAACACGCTACTTGTTGACAAGACACTATTTGAGAATATTTTTGTCCGCCCCCAGCCCCCTAATGGGCGCTCATGTTTAGGGAAATTGAAATTCATTCTCATTTGTGTTCGTTGTCGTGTAATTTATGAAGGTAAAAATCCCCAGTAAGGAATGTTTCAACCGTGCTTTCAACTAACCGAGAGATGACATTGCTAATACAATTCGACTTCACTGACAAGACAGACAGGAGTTATTTTGAACATTTGTATTACGGAACTGTCTTCAGCATACTAGTTATTCTGAATCCACCCCTGACGATGGTATTGACGCGCCGACAAGATCAGATTTCAGAAGAAGTATTTTTATATTGGGATCTTTGAAAGATTGTTTTCTATGATCTGGCTAGTATCTGCAATCCCTTTTTGGCGCCTCCCTAATGCCTATGTTGATTGGGTTCTTCAGATGTAATACGCCTAATTAACGTACGCATTAGAGAGGCGCCAAAAAGAAATTGTAGATCCTAGCACCATTAATGACCCAAGCACTTTCGTTTCAAAGTAGATTTTAAATTCATTTTTATGTTCTACTAAAATGTGTTTCTGGTAAAACGAGTTATTGTTATATAAAACAAACAATAGTGCTTATTGTCTGAGAGGATTATTTGCTGGATGTGTGCAGTACGTGAAGAACTGTTGACTTTATGCTTTCTATTCCAAGACTATTCTTTCGCTCAAGGGTTTTGGTAGATCCACCTTCTGTCAAAGATATACAACAAAAAAAAGTGTTGCGAGAGCGCTAATGATGCGTGCCCAACACGAAGGACAATGAGAGTATCTGTCTCCCTGTTAACGATCCCTAATGGATCCCCAAATAATTAAATGTTAGTCAGTGTGGAGGCTCTTCCTCTACTACCCTTGAGCAGTTCAAAATTCGGAATAACAAGGTGTCCTTGTATCCCTTTTAGCAGTTGCGTATCCCCAGGTTCTCTTTAAAATTTTACCCAAAATGAACATTTCGATTCAGAAATCTAATAATATTGTAAGTGACAATTGTCAACGTTTCATACCTACAACATGGCATATATTACACATATATGGCATTGGAAAGGTTATCCATTATAAAGAATAATTCATATATTTTAAAAAAAGTCACAGAAAGAAATCAAAAATAGGTAATTACAATGTGAGCAAAATTTACTTTTTACGATATAATCATGTTAAGATACGGTACAATGTTCTTTCTTGGTACATGAGCAGTTTTTACAAATTTTACGGATACATTTTACCTAAAACAACATTGTGAAGTTGATAACCAGAGCTACACACATTGAAATATAATGCTACGATACTGGAAATGATGAAACATTCGTAACGAATGAGAACTAGACAAAACCTTTCGGCAAGTTTATTATATTAGTCTAATCATATTAGCAAATTTCCCCGAAATAATTGTAAAGTCTGGTTTATTAGTGAAAGTTGTTCAAGGGGGTATTCAACACATGGACACATAAAATGGATATTTGTGGGAAAACGTTTTGACAACAAAGAATGAGAAAACGTGTTTTTTGGGATTCAATGGAAAGTGTTGACAGGGACGGAATAACGTTTCATATGAGATTTTCAGGTATTCATGAGACCTACAAAATGAGATCACACGTCAAAAGATCCGACTAATAACAAAAATGTTATGGCCGAAAAACGAGGCAAAATGCAGGTTTTGGCACTTGTTAGTGATGCGACGATAATTTCACGCAACTACTTGAAATTCTTCAAATCCGTAGGATTCCTACTTCTAAATAACAACAAAATTGGAGTATATTGGTCAAGTAGTTTTTTGAGAATGTCTA